ATATATATATAATGCCAATGCACTGCACGTTTTTTCTGTTCCCCACCCTGTATATATATAATGTTGTGTATTATGTTGTGTAAGGAAGGGCGACTGACGTATGAAACGACACATTCCCTGTGGCGGCTGACGTATAAAACGACACATTCCCTGCGGCGACTGACGTATGAAATGACACATTCCCTGCAGCGACTGACGTATGAAACGACACATTCCCTGCGGCGACTGACGTATGAAACGACACATTCCCTGCGGCGACTGACGTATGAAATGACACATTCCCTGCAGCGACTGACGTATGAAACGACACATTCCCTGCGGCGACTGACGTATGAAACGACACATTCCCTGCGGCGACTGACGTATGAAACGACACATTCCCTGCGGCGACTGACGTATGAAATGACACATTCCCCGCCGCCGAGATTTGCCCAAGTTGTCACTGGACTTTCTTCCACCATTTTTAAAATCTATTGTTTGATTTCAGTTGAAAAATGCCAGAATTGTTGCCATTGTTGTTGTGAGTTCTTTTGCCGGTATTTCCTGCCACAGGTCTCATGTTGTCTACTGCCGGTATTTCTGCCACAGGTCTCACGTTGTCTACTGCCGGTATTTCTGCCACAGGTCTCATGTGTTTGTTGTTGTGTGTTGTGAAAGGTGGGGAAATGTTGTTTGTTTACACACGTCAGGGACAGTCTATCACTCACGCGGTGAAACACACACACACACACACACGCACACACGCACACATGCTCACACATAGCAAAACATTTACATAGAACATCATAACGTAAAGAAAGAAAATTTGTTTCAGTTCATTTTTACTGGAACCTTCTGACTTATCTCCCCTCCTTCTTGCCTGCTGGGACGCTGTCTTCCAAAATTCGATCACTTTGTAAATAAATATGTGTGTAACGTTTGTAAATAAATATGTGTGTAACGTTTGTAAATAAATATGTGTGTAGCGTTTGTCTATGTGTGTATGTGTACAGGAATCTGTGCTTGGCTCAAAGGGTCAAACACTAGAGGTCAGGAAGGTCGTGATGTGTATTTGATCAAGCTATGTTTAGCCTCATTTGATGTCCGTTTTCACCTCAGTGTTGTCTGTCTTTGTGTCGTGACTCGCTGGAATCGGACGCTCGTCAATTTTTGTGGAGTTATTGATATTATTATCTGAAAAGTTAAAACTTGTTCATTGTTCTTGCTTTCATAGAAAAAAACTACCCATCTATGTTGAGGAGAGGTTGAGAAGATATTCATGATAGCAGGAAGTGGGGTCCACCTGGTTTCAGAAGTAAAAATAGCGAAAAAATGGTCGTCAAAGTTTGGCGAATTCGATAACTTGAGAGTCCTTAGAAACTGAAAATTTACATTTTTTTGGGCCTTTAATATTTTCAGTAAAATGTGATTATATGGTCACAACAGGTGTTGAGCCAAAAAAATAAAAATTCGAAAAAAATTACCAAATTGGCAGAAAAATGCTCGTTTCTTCAATTTCATAATTTTGACGAGCGCCTGATTTCACCACGCTGCCTCACAGATGTCTGTTTGAGGAACTCTGCTGACATGTCTCATGTACAAAACTAGAATATTGATAAGGGGTGTTGAATGATTGATGATTGACGGAAGAATTGTGTCAAAAACGATTGATTGAAATACAGATTGTAAAATCACCTGTTTGTATTTTTTCTCTTATGTATTATAGTTCTTTGGAGTTGGAGTTGGTAGTTGTGTTGTGTCTTGTTGTGTTGTGTTGTGTTGTGTTGTGTTGTGTTGTGTCGTGTCGTGTCGTGTCGTGTCGTGTTGTGTTGTGTTGTGTTGTGTTGTGTCTTGTTGTGTCGTGTCGTGTCGTGTCGTGTCGTGTTGTGTTGTGTTGTGTTGTGTTGTGTCTTGTTGTGTTGTGTTGTGTTGTGTTGTGTTGTGTTGTGTCGTGTCGTGTCGTGTCGTGTCGTGTTGTGTTGTGTTGTG